TTATTGATTTGCTTCCGCAAACAACCATCGAGAAAGTATTTGAATATAAATTTGAAAATATATTTTTCGTTAAACTAGTTTTGTAGTAGAGAATGATGCACAAAAATGATTCAAAAAAAGTATTTGAAAACGGATGCTCTTTTTTATTTTGTATTTGAAAGGAAGCAGTTTTAGTAGAAATATTAGTTTATGGAAATATCTTCAACGTAATTATTTCATAATATGGCTAAAACAATTGTTAAGTCTTTAAAAAAATCTTATTTTAATTTAAACTCTAAATTTTAGATTTGAATTTCATAAATATGGAAATATTTTAACTACAAGTTCAAATCTCAGTTATCGTAAATACACACAGTTAAAAATTTCTCGTAAAAAAGTGATTGAATTTATTTAATTGTTATTTTGCGATATACCTACAAAAATTTCAAATAACTATAATTAATATGGTATTCAAACTGTTAACTGCGAGAAAAACCATTTATTAATTGCTCTCACCTAATGCGGTTAAGCAATCAGAATTTTATCACACCGACTAAGTCTGTACGCAACAGGAATACAGGATAAATAATCAGAAGACATTTTTTAGAACAACCATTTTTATTATTATTTTTTATCTGTTTTTTTCTCTCGTTGCCATTCGCAACTCTTTTAAAAATAAGATGAACAGACATGTGACATATGACATTCCTACAATGCTCCCTCACCCGTAACTAAGTTAAGATGCAAGGCAAGTATGTCAAATTTGTCATATAATGATAATTGGACGTAACTACCACTACATATATGAAATACCAATTCACTAGAATATAAGACAGACTAACTTGATTCTATCACGAGGTACCTTTTGATAGATGAAGGTTGACATAGTCGATTTATAATTCCCTTCATTGGTGACCTGCGTAAGTGATATGAACTTGCCAACATTCATGGATGATCCACATTAAGCAGTTGATTTGCTTAAAAATATACAGCACAGAAAAAAAAAATTCGGTGACGTAAATAAAGTCTCTCGGTCAATAAACAATAAAATGAGCGAAATGCTATAAACAAAAATAAGAAAAAATAATGTGCAAAATGCTATAAAAATGAAGAAAAAATATAATGAGCGAAAATGTTCTAAATAACAAACAGCATGAATCAACTAGTGGTATTTGTTCATCGAATTCTATCACAGATAAAATTCTGGAAGTGGAGTAATGGGGCGTAACTACCACTACATATATGAAATACCAAATCACTAGTATATAAGACATGTTAACTTGATTCTATCACGAGGTACCTTTTTATAGACGAAGGTTGACATAGTCGATTTATAATTCCCTTCATTGGTGACCTGCGAAAGTGATATGAACTTGCCAACATTCATGGATGATCCACATTAAGCAGTTGATTTGCTTAAAAATATACAGCACAGAAAAAAAAATTCGGTGACGTAAATAAAGTCTCTTGGTCAATAAACAATAAAATGAGCGAAATGCTATAAACAAAAATAAGAAAAAATAATGTGCAAAATGCTATAAAAATGAAGAAAAAATATAATGAGCGAAAATATTAGAAATAAACAAACAGCATGAATCAACTAGTGGTATCTGTTCATCGAATTCTGTCACAGATAAAATTCTGGAAGTGGAGTAATGGGGCGTAACTACCACTACATATATTAAATACCAAATCACTAGTATATAAGACATGTTAACTTGATTCTATCACGAGGTACCTTTTGATAGATGAAGGTTGACATAGTCGATAATTAATTCCCCACAAGCCCGCCAAATAAATCGATTTAGTTCCTTGCAGTTGGGTACATATCATAGTCGAAATGGCAAATCTATCAATCTCATGACCGACAGAACTACTGTTCGAGTCCCAGTGCAGACAAAACAATATTCCCACCATCTCCTTCAACACAGGAAAAGTTTCCAGTGTCTTGCTTTTTCTAATGACCATTATCTGACGGAATGCCTATGTTCAGTTTAATTTCATTTTAGAGTTTTATAAACATGTGAATTGTAAATGGTTAAAAAACCGTATAGTTTAGTATTCATGGTTTCGTATCAAACTAGTATAAAATGTTCTTTACCGTAAACTTTACTGTTAATTGGATGGGCAGACTGCAGTCGGTTATTTTACTATAATTTGTGAAAAGAAATTTTAACAGTTAAGTTCTTTCCAAGCTTTATGGGAAAAAGGGTAAAGATGCTTATTCTTCTGGTTTCTAAAAATTAAGAATACTACTATCTTGCTTTAACGTTTAAAAAGAATAATATTCTTGAGTGAGGTTTACTTTTTAAAATAATTTTGCTTATTAAATATTGAAATTTAGCTATTTTAAATAAGTCACTGTTCAAAAGTAAACCTTATCTTATTGATTCCTTAGGATTAAATAGATTTAATTTTTTTATTTGCAATGGCACGACAAGATACATCATTGGAGTAGATACCACAATAAGTTAGACGCAAGAATATCCCAAGCAAAGGTTCGCAATTAGAACAGAAAGTGCCCGGAGTCATTATCTAAGATGGTCTCTTATATGCCAATATAGTATCCGAAAAGTACCCTCCAGCAACAATGATGGGTTCTGTTCATGAGCTCTCTGAGATCACAGAATGGACAAAACGGTTGGGCAAAAGAACCAATCACTCATCTATGCAATCATGGCCTGTTAGTAGTCGAAAAGGAAACACTGCACCACGTCGCGGTTATTCATGTGAACTAACGAGATCTTGAAATATTTCTATTTTTATTGTTAATTTTATTTTGGATGTGTCTTTCATAATCTGATGTATATTTTCCACCCAATATAACATTTCAAAATAATACAATAAATTATTTTAAGAAACTAATTTATATACAAAGTGTTACGTAACATATTGTGGATTCAAAATAAAAGCCGTTCATGGAAAATTTGATGATTCTAAGCGTAACGATAAAAATATGATCCTACTTTGAATCTCTGATTAAAGGAGCAATGAAAATAGTTTACACATAATCTTGAAGCATAATGAATAAAATTCTTAACCTAACCATCTAGTGAAATTAAACTTAAGACAGCGACTGTGATTAAAATGGTATTGGGTGAAGCTTGAAGTTCCGCGTTATTTATCTCAGAGATTAGAAGGAAGATTAAATTCAGTGGAGAAAAGTTAAAAATATGATTAAGATAATAATTACGAATTGTATTAAATACTTTGTATTCATGAAAAATTAGAATTTTGTTACTTGAAGTAATAATTTAGAGTAAACGAAGTCAAAGTTTTTTTCTTTTATATTTGCATCTCGTTTTTTTTTTATTTAAAAGTGAAATATGACACAAGTTTTAAAATATACGCAAGAAATCACTGTAAAACATACGTTACAAATAAAGGTAAGTCACATTATATTACACATATACGATATTGTTATCATTGCCACTATACAAAGGTAAGTCGTTTTGTCAACAGGGGCATGATTGGCGCCAAGTGGGTTGTAAAAATATTTAGAGGGGCTAGAGACAAATTATGGTTATTTGAAGGGTGTAAGAGTTTCATAAACAAAGATACGATAAAAATAGTATTCATCAAAAATAGTACGTAATATATTACGACGTACGTACGTATAATAATACGACGATAAAAATAATACGTATTTAAAACTATTTTTAGTAGGTATAGATGTTTTGGTTTGATGTCGAAGAATTATTTATTTCTATTTAATCACCACCATATTTGGTATTAAATCATTTATATCATTAAATTTGCTTGTTTGGACAAAAGGCTTTCTGAAGATAGCAAGGAAATATTTAATATCCATTTTACGTTTTTAACATTGAATAGCACCATAACATTCGCACGATTTTAATATTTTTTGTCCTACTACTTTTCCAAATCTCACCTAAAAGACTTAATTATTTTTTATTGAGAAAAATAATATTTAATTTAATGAGCAAACTGAAACATTGAATTTATTTTTGAAAACACTCATAAATTTTGCATATGCGTCAGTTCCATCAAAATTATTATAAAAAAGGTCCCGAACAACTTGAAAGCATTGCATATTTTGGATAACTTAGAAGAATGGTAATATTATAACAAGAATATTGAGAGACTTTACATTAAAATAAGACAAACTCTCATTTGTTATTTCTTTCATTAGGTTTTATATTTCTTTTGCAAGTAAGCATAGAATATTTTTTGAATCGCTAAGTGAGAAGTTATCCAAAAAAGTGGGAAACCTAAGTAACATAAATTATCAATTTAGAAAATTAAATTAAAAATTTTATTTACTTGAAATAAAGTCTTTCACTTTAGAATTCTCATTAATGGATTATTAAAATTTAAACAGTGAAAAAAATCTGTAATCAAAACTACCAGAATATGGTAAAATTTACCATTTTTCTGTCTTTATGGAAACAACAAAAACCTCGGTAATTTTTACTGAAGTTCTTTGGTAATGATTTTGATAAAATAAACAATAAAATATGGTCTTTTAACAAGTTATAAAATTAAATAAATGAGATAAAATTTAGTAATTGTATCATGATACCCTAAAGCATGCGATAAAAACCATTTAAATTTAGATTTATTTAACTTTTTTTTTTTTACTAAATGTAAAGTAATAAGAGCTGTAATTTTGAAAATTGGAATTACCGGTAAACCACTACCATATGAACAGACGAATCACCAAATGGATGCTTCAAATACAGTATATTTTGGGGTTTTGTTTGACAATGTATGTCACTGCTACACAGTATGGTAATTTATAATAATAATTTAATATAAATAGAGGGATAAAAATATTTTACTTGAAAAATAAAGGCTGGGAATTCAAATATTTAATAAATAATTTCTTCGAAATTAGTATAATTCTACATTTTTTTCTTTCATATACTAAAAATAATCGAAATATTGCGTGAAGTTTTCAGACATAAAAAATGGCAACCGTTATTTCAGTAAATATTACGCAAACCAGTACCCGATGCCTTGACACAAATGGAACAAAACATATGAAGTAATTTACTCACAGTTCATATCCAATTGCACCTCTGCCACTTTCGGTTTCGTCAAATTTGTATTCGATGCCCTGCAGCTGTATTCGTCCATTATATCTGTGCGTCTGATGTCAGTCAAAATCAATTCGTTGCGAACAAAACCTCTTTTTGTAACGTTAAAGTCGACGTCTATGAGAGAATCTCCCTTCCACCATGTCACAGACGGAGTTGGATCACCTATGAAAAATGAAGTTGAAAATGACATAAAATTATCGAGATGAAGTCTTTTAAAATATATACACAAAAAGTCTCGTTCGTAATTCAGCTTCAGATGAGAGAAAAAAATAACAGAAATAAGAGATAAGCATTCTATTAATTTATTACGCATTTCTTTCTCTTGACATTTTTCATATTTTTTTTCTTCATTTGCGCATTGTAATAGAGGGCGTTGTTTTCTTTAGGTTTCAGTTTTTTCTTTTCATTCGGCTTGCTTGAGAAATTGATGTCTGACCTGTGAATATGTGAGTTTTTATTTTTCTGATGATTTTGTTAGAGTTTCTTTTCTTAATTTGTTATTTATATTGCATGTTTTTTTCCTGGACTTCTATGCAAAACCATCGGGGTACTGAGGGAGTTAATTTAAGCATTTGCTTCTCCCTCAATTAGAAATGATTTTGTTTTTATGGCTACCGGGGTCGGTACCCCCTGAAGACGTCAGCTTCGGTGGTCATATTTTCTTTCTTATTTCCTCCATTTTCTTTTTCTTTATTGCTACTTTTTTCTGAAATTTCTGCTGCTTTTTAGCGCATTTTTTTCAAAGAAGTTTTTTTCTATTTTGAATTAAAAATATTTGTGTTTTCTTTTAGTATTATAGAAATAAGAGATCTTAATTAATTTAAAAGGAGGGGTCAAAAAAAGAGTTGATGCATTTAAAGTTCTAAAATATTTAACAAATAATGAATATATTATAATTATTAGATCATTATTACAATTGTTCTTATTATCATAATTGTTAAGACAATTCTTGACATTACTGTATTGCATCATAAAATATAATAGCAATAAGTGTTTTGATTGAAAAAATATTTTTGAACTAAAAAACATTGTCCATTATATAATATTTTTGATTTCTAATTTTTTTATCACGTCGATAATTTTAGAAATTTAATAACACTACAAATATAGAATTAATATAGAATATTAATTTACATATATATATATAGTGTTTGATTTATTTTTATTTATTTTAAAACGAAGATTAACACTGTTTGATAAACACCAAAGTTATACACACTTTTGAACATTTGTAAAATAAAATATGCACTTTCAATTAAAAATAACATACAAATTTTTTTAATTTAACATTTATGTATGTGCTTTTAGAAATAAATATTAATTACACAGTTATTTAGTCCAAAAAAAATTTTTTTTTAAATTATTGCTTTCAAATACCATACATTTTGAAGAAGAGTAATACTACTTACAATGATTATTCGCATGTTCCATTTCAAATATTTTAATTACCATTCAAGCACAAAATAGTCAGACTTTCTTATACGAAATGATTTAAAATATTTCAAGAAACCACGTTTTTTTAGAATCAGTCCGGACATCAGATTAAAAAGTGAGATAATAGTTATTTTATTGCATATTTAATAACTAGCTTTAAAATCTACACTTCCGTTGATATACTTTCTTTTATACACTATTCTGAGTTTTTATGAAAATACACATATTACATTTCAAAGAAGTTTAAAAATATCGTAGACTATTCCTCCTTCTCCACGAAGTTTCAGGATTTAGCACCTGAGACTATTTGTTATCTTAGAAATAAAATCACTTTTTAAAAAACCGATATTTCTGAAGCTTTACGGGAACGTGACGAAGGAGTCAAAGAATATTCTATCGAACGAAGTTTATAAAATCATACAAACGATATCTGTACGTGTCAAGAAATTCATAAAAGAATACATAAAAGGCGTAGTCGGGATGTATTTTACTAAATGCAAATCTTTCCCAATTTCAATCATGTAGAAGTGTTGAGGGCTGGTGCAAACATCGATATATTTGTATTGAGAAACTGGACTTTTTTAAATATTCATCACACCAGAATATTGAAAAACATGAATATGTGAATTTACTATGTTGCTTTAGGGCTAAAGGCGAAAATGAGATGAAATATTGTTCTTCAAGAGTTAAGAGACTTCTATCTTCGCTATCTTAGGTTTTAGTGGGTTTTTTTTTTTTTTTTTTGTGCTTAACTTTTGATGACAGTGTATTATTAGGCAGCGCACAACTTTTCAGGAAAGACTAGAAATAAGGCGTTGCTTTAATAGATTAGGATAAATAACGCTTGATAAAATTTAAACTGCTATGAAATTTTCATTAAAACTTTAAGGTAATAAAATGATGCGTTTTCTGATTTTTAAGGGGGCAATTTAAACTTTACGTTTGTCAAATTTAAATTTCTTAAAATCTAATTTTATTAAAGATTAGACTGATAAAAAACGATTTAAATGACAATAAAAAATTTTTAACGTTTATTGTATAAAAACAAATATTCTTCTAAATTTTAAGAAAACGGGAAAGTGCATACTATTTAACTAACCATCAAAAATATAATTGGTATTTTGACAAACAATAAAATTCAATGTCATTTTTTTTCTTTTTTGCTGGAAACAGAGGATATTTGTTTGTATAACCAAACATGAAACAAAAACCATTAGGAAAACAAAAATTGGACATTCACTTCATATTGAAAAAGCTATGAGAAGTTTGTCGCAGAATGCATTTACATAAATTATACAAATGAAGCAAATAAAATAGTGGCAACGCAGTATAGACGATAATGGGATATCAGACATGTGAAAACTGATGAGAACAAAGAGGTGGAGCGCTCATCAATATATAGGGCCAATATATAACAGCCAATACCGTAAAAAAGGTGGCTATTGTGTCAAGCTCTGTGTTCTAAATCTGCAAATAGTGAATGAGTCTAAAAAATTTCAAAAATGATCTAGATATCTTTTAGCAAAATAAACTGATTTCAAGTATTTCAAGTTGCCAAATAATTTCAATAATTCCAAATAATTTCAAGTTGCATAACAAGCAAGCGGGCCAGCTTGGTTTTGAAGAGTTGGCCGAATAGCATCACAGAAATATGCTGTCTATTTCCCTGCATCTATTTGATTTTGTGAGTAGTTTACTATAGCACTATGTATGATCGAGTATGCATCAAGAAGGCTGGTGCAAATTGAGACCAGACCTTTCCGTTATTTGGCAAAGCAGCGCTCTCCGTAATGCCGTAATGTTCCACAAGTAATATAACTAATAATTTCTGAAAGTTGTGAAAGTATCTAATGCTTTAGAGGTCTTAGCACCCTCCCCTACTGCCCTGACTGGAGTTTTGTGGATTCAACTAGTTTCCGAAGCTGAAAAAGGACATATCTAATTTCCTATAGTTGTTGTAATGCGTACTCTGTCACGGTTATACAACCATGTATAATGCAATATACCATCGATATTCAACCACATCTACATTCTAAGAAAAAATTTATTTTAAGGAAATATTCTGGAAAAATTGCCAAAGATAATCCATATGCTACGGAGAAAAAAACACAACGACAGAATTTTTTTGGAAAAATACACTAAAGAAAATATCTGTACGCACCATATACGATACCTTTCAATACTGGAAGAGACACTTTGGATTTATCACTTTCTTTTTAAATTTCTCGCGAAATAGTATTTTTTAATTTCAGAGATGCTTAGTTCAGGTGGTTTTCCTTACTTAGCAATAAAATTTAATGCTTTCAGAGTTTGAGAGACCTACAATAAACTACGAAGGAAAACAAGCATTTTTGAACACCCTATGCCAGAAAATTACGCAATGAGCTTGTAGCTTCTATCGATTACTTTAGTTATTATATTTAATAATTGTGTAAAGTTTTGTAAACCTATAGTAAATATTTATGAAAATATGAACATTTAAAAAAAATTAGATTTTTTTGCCTTGCGTTTTTTTCTTCTAACTTTATAGATATTCAATGGAACTAAACAATGGAAAAAATTTTGTAGCATTTCAAAAATAATTACGAAATTGTCGATTAAAAATGTTAAAAAAAATTCCGTAAAAACTGCGAAAGTTATATGTATTTAAGCTAGTTCTTTTATACTGCGCACGCACTGAAAAATTTGAAAGAAGTGTTTTTTCATAATTTCGTAGTGAATCGTATTTGTCAACTAATAAAAAAATTTGATTTGACTAGCTTAAAAATTTAAAAAGTTTCAAGCAATTTTCTAAGTAGTTTTTGCACATTTCAAAAGAAAGCTGGTTTTTTCAACAAATTTTATTTTGTATCATAAGACAAAAATTAATAACAAATGATAATACCTTACAATAGTCAGCTGGTAACTAAACTTTGAGGGTACAGCAAAAGAAAACATGCGGAAGAAAGTTTTTATGGGGTTGATCCCCTACAATACCAGTCTCATTTCTTATAATTCTTGTTAAACAGTACTGGATGAAATTCGTGGATAACCTCCAATTAATTTGAGCTTTTTTAAAACAAAAATACAAAAACTACTTGGAAAATTGCTTGAATCTTTTTAAATGTTTTTAAATGTTTTTAAATATTCAAATAAAGCTTTTAACATTAGTTACCAAATACGATTTCTTACAAAATTATGAAATTTTTTTAAAAAATTTTACTGCTCATGAGCAGTTTAAAAGAGCTAGCTTAAATACTCATATCTCTCGCAGTTTTTAACGAATCATTTTAAAATTTTAAAATAACAATTTTGTAATTAATTTCAAATTTCTCCAAATAAAAACGATTTATTCCATTGAATATTTATGAATAGAGCCCGGATTTTGATGACCTAAAAAATCTCAACTAATGCCCTTAAAAAGTGCAAAAAATGCCCTTAAAAATGCAAAAATTGAGCAAAAAATGCCTTAAATAAAGTTAAAATATTGAATTAAAAATTTTTTTTGCTCTTTAAAATTATTATGAGTCATTTAAAAAATATAAAGCAATGCAATACTTGTTCTACGTTCATTAAAGTTTGAAAAATATGTTTTATATCCTGAAATAACAAAAAAAGGAAAATATATTGACACCAAAATATTTTTATTTTGTATAGAAACTTTAATGGATATAACAACTTTCATCTCATAATATTACTGAAAATCAGAATTACATTGGATTATTAAATGTTTTTTGATAATTTGAAATGCAAACGAGCGTCTCTTGTCTGAAAGTAAATTTTCATTCCTGCAGAAGCTTCTTTCAACGTCTACTGATGTTATAGGTGTGTACTTGAAAAAGACGGTCTCACTTACTGACAATTCTTCTTCAATTTGAAAAGAATTTGCTTCACCTGTTAATATCCTATAGATTTTCTTCATTGTTTGGAAGCCAGTGTAATAATGAAAATTGATAAAAAATAATAAAAATTGGAAAAAATTAACAGAAAACTTTAAAAAATGTATTAAAATGCAAAATACGCCCCTAAATTTAAAGAAAAATGCCCTATAAATCTAAAAAAATGCTCTAAAAGACAAAAAATGCCCAAAAATGCAAAAAATGCAAAAAAATGCAAATGTCATCAAAATCCGGGCCTTATTTATGAAGTTATAGCAAAGAAACGTAAGACGAAAAAATTCTTATTTTTATAAAAATGTCCATATCTCCATAAATATTTACTTTAGGTTTATGATACTTTATTTATTTATTAAAAATAACAACTAAAGTAATCGATACAACGTACGAATCTTTTGCTTCATTTCCAGTCATACAATGGAAAAATACTTGTTTTCTATCATAATTTATAGTCGGTCGCCCAAACCTCAGAAAGCTTTAAATTTTATTGCTAAGTATGAAAACTCGCACGAACAAAAATCTCTAAAGTTATAAAATATTACTTTATTTCTTGCAAAATTTCCAAAAAAGAAGGTCAAAAACTGCCTCTTTCATTACTGTAGGGTAGTGTATTTTGCAGTTTTAAATATAAAATTAGTGCGAATTTTGTTATCTGTTATCAAAATTGTGAAATTATGAATTTTTTTGGGCCTTCTCATAGAAAATATTATTTAATTGAAAAAAATGTCTTTAAAATTTCAATGTTGAGTGGCAACTTTCACTGAAATTGCATTTTGCTTCGTGAAAAATTTAAAAATAAATAAATAAATGATAAAAAATAACCACCCTAGAGTAGAATTTATAAAGATTTTTCAATGGTATTAAAAATAGTATTACCAAATTAATTCTAAAAACCATCCTAAGAAGTACTAAAAATATCTCATTGTAGAACAAAAGAAAATAGTTTTCTTTATAAAAATGTTCATATTTCCATAAACATTTAAACTAGACTTACGAAGCTTTAAATTTCATTGCAAAGTATGGAAAATTGCATGAACTAAATACCCTTAAATTTACAAAATAATCAGTTCGGTATTTCTTGAGCAATTTAAAAAAATATCCAAAACTGATATCTTCCATTATTGTAGGGTTAGTGTGTTTTTTATAGATCGGGGTAATGTCGAACCCTCTAGTTTACAAAATAAGGTTGATTAGTTTTTTTTAATAACTCCATTTTTTATGTATTACTAGGGGGATAAGTCCCCTGTTCGCTGAGGCTCACTAACCCCGACGATTGTTTCGCAATAATTGCTGCTTCTTTGCGTAAAACAGTTGAAATTATTCAACAAAAAATATATGTACTAAAAAGAACACTTGTGCCACCCCTTCCCCCGTCCAAATATTTTCCTTATGATACTATTAAGTATGATATTATTAATAAGTTAACAAAATGATTTAACTATTAAGCATGATATTAGTATGAAATAAATAAGTATGATATTAGAATGAAATAATTAATTAAGTATGATGTTATTAAATAGTATATGAATGTAATTTGTATCAAAAATAATAGTTGTAAAATGGTTGAAAAGGTCATAAGAAAAATTTTTTTAAATCGGTGTCTGATGTAACGTAAAATTACGTTATTCTAACCATAATAATAAAAACAATCCTCTGAAACTCTTAATTTAGAAAACTAACAAAATCAGAAACGTAATAATAACAGTACAGGTAATTTTAACCTTTAAATTAGGGAAGCAAAAAAAATTATATTAAAACGATAACTTTATGACTTACATCAAGTTTATGCTGATGAAAACCAAACCAATATGAAAATTAAAGTGGGAAATCTAGATCCTACCATGTGATTTTCTGGGCAATAAATATGTACCGATAACAATGGAGAAATGCGACACCATCATTAGATTTTTACATATAGTAAGATTTCGGGAATTTTGAAAAATCGAAAACCACTACGCTTGAAAAAACTGTCGTGGAATTTTTACTTTTTTCCATCGTTAAGTTCAAATTATCCAAAGCGTGATTCAAATACGCAACATTCCTGGTATAAAGTCAACTCCTCGTCAACCATACCAGTCGATCCGCATCTCTGTTTCAATGTATCAAATAATTTGTTGCCGCTTTGATATCAAATATTTTCATATTCAAAACGGAAAAAAATCTGTACTCACTAGGTATAATCTGCTTCAATGGGGACAGATTTTATTTGTTCACAGAAAAAATATCTCTTTAGACGGATTACAATGTTATTTAACAGAAAATTTCTGCAATTTTAAAGAAGAGAAGTTTGCTGTAGGAAAGTTAAAACAGATTTTTTTACAATGAAGACAATTACTAAAGATTGCTAAATTTGGCTGGCGTTTATATTAAAAGAATGTAATTCAATTTCCTGTGTAAGTACAATTCGAATGCTTCGTATATGCCGCAAATAGTCTATTTACAGCATTTGTATGTTTTAAAGAAATATTTTAACTTGAGTCACTTACCTCCATCTACATCACAAATAAATGTAACTGTGGATCCTTCATCATACGGCCCAATTATGTCTATTAATCTTTGTCCATGTTCATCCATTATAATAGGTTCTTCAGGTGGCACTAAAAAAAGTAATTTCCGTAATGTTTTTGCAATATTGAAACATCTTAAATCATCAGAATTAATGTTTTTTTTTAAAAAAATAAGAAGAAATAAAAAACGACTTCTACTTCTTGTAAGCATATTAAGACTGTTCTAATAGATACATCCTTTTTGCATCTAAGACTGCACTTATAATTGGAACAATGGTATTGGATCTCTTATTTTATTGAGAATAAAACTAGTGTTCCTTATTACATATAATAAGAAATAGGTAAGCATGAAATATGTTTAAGTAACGTTTTCTCCTAACATATCTCTTAGCTTTATTAAAGCAGAATATTTTTTTTGAAACAATTAACCATTTTAGTTTGATTTAATAATTATTTCAAACATTCCGCCTATTTCTTTTATTGTTTAACAGATTAGTTCGTTTATCTCACTTTCATCAAAAAAGGCCAATTTTACTTTTTTTACAAAGATACTTGGTTTCGAATTTGTTTTATAAATTTTGAAACGCTTTATGCCTCAAAAGCTTCCATTTCGGATTTTGAATAAACAATTTTTAAATACCCACTTTCCCTTTGAAGTTTCTCTTTTTTTTCAAATGTTTGATACAAAATTTCAGATTTGTGATTATAACCACGCTTTTTTATATCTCCTCGCCTTTTAAAAAAATAGTTTCAAGATCCTCAATTTGGAGTTCAAAAAAATAAGTGCACTGAATTTTTTCTTTCAATACTTCACAAAGACTTTAGAAAGACAAAACAAAATTGCTTTTTTTTCACTTAGCAACGAGATACCCCAATTTGTCACTGTAGTTAGTATTTTGAAAGGCACCTGAGACCTCAAACGTCCTTATTCATTGACGTTTTTGTTATAAGTCTTTGATTAAAACATGCTGCTACATTTTATTAATAACTAAATTTAATTAAATTAAGCTGTAAAATTTTCCCAGTGCTTTTTTGACTGTCATTAATTTATAAATCTAAACTCTTATCAATACTGTCACTAAGTTCGTCCCTGCTAATTGCTCTGATTTATTATTGGAAACGTAGAATACCTGCAATTAGAAATGACTGCAGAGAAATATAACTATTTTGAAATCACTTTTGAATATATAAAACTGTAAGTAACATCTCGTTAAACATGTCTAAAGTAATCAAAAAACGGAAGTTTACAAATAATGCTGTAGTTGGGTCTTCTCAAGAACTTAGTGTCAAAAATCTTTATTTTTACGAAAGAAGATTCTAAGAAATAATTTATTCTTATTCGTTAAAAGCTTGAGCAGAAATTTTTACTTCATTTAGAGTGATAGCATTCGTTGTTACAGAAAAAAAATACAGATATGGAAGGAGATAATTAAAGGCTTATCGTCTGAACCAAAAATGGAAAAGCTTCTTAAAACTTATTTCGAAAAATGAATTGATCAGATCATCGCACAACACAAAAAATGGTTATTAGGAACGTTGATTTGCCTCAAACTCAACAAAATATGCGAAGATAAAAAAGATTGTGAATAGAAGAAGAGCAACACCTTTGAAATGCAAATAACCAAATGAATAAGATGACCCAAATAAAAGTAACAAAAGTATGTCCCATTTTGTATGCGCAGAAAACGAAGAGATCCGAAACAACCTACCAAGAAACAGAAATTAAATAGGTAGCTCTCAGATGATTGTACCTCCTCCCACTTTTGCTAAAGTGGTCCAAGGAGCAGTAGCTTCTTTGCTATCTGTTACTTTGAAACTGCTGCTTAAACTGATTGTGGTGTGATTAAAAAAAGCGTAACAAGAAAGATATTTACCATCATAAATTTGGCAGAAATATATAAAGAATGCGCAAAACAGTGAAAGAACAAGACAAAAAAGATAAAATTCTACTAAAACTCTTTTATTTAGATGACCGAAAGAATTCCACGCTAACTATGGAGAAATGTGAGAAAAAGTGAAGCAAAAAAACTGTAATAAATAATATTATGTAATATTTGCAAAGTGCCAGTTACGGGACATTCAGTTTCAATTTCAGCTACTGACGATCACTTAACATAAGGAAAAGGTGATTATGGAGGATTTAATTGCAATTGTTTGCGATAGAACTGCTATTAATACTAAATCCCATCTAGGAGTTATTAGAGATCTTGCGAAATGCGTCAAGAGGATAATATTGGTTCATGTACCATCTGCATGAAAATGAACTTCTATACAGGCATTTTTTTCAACTTCTGTATGGCATTACAACTGGTCCAAAAACTATAAACTAAGCTAAAAAACCTATAAGAAAAAAGACCTATAGGAGCGTGTTTAAAACTACAAAAATAGCACGGCATGAGTTGACCTCTTGACGAACTGTATTACAAACAGTTACATATCAGAAAATAACACAATCAATCATTTTATCCAAAGCTGATAGAAAGGATGAGAGTACCAATCAGTTGTCCGTACACCATATTTGTCAACACCATATATTACACCAAAAAACCGTAAAAACCTAGTTTGGCTGTAAAAGATTACGGAAAAAGAAGCCATTCTCGTTAGCTTGACATTTTCCATCGCGTATAAAGATTATACATTTCAACTAAAGATTACGAACTGTATAAAGACTAAAATTTCTCACCAAATATGTAACACAAAACTCCATTGTATGGCTCGTAACCGAGACTAGATCCTTTAGTACTCAAGGTAACAAATACTTATGGCACTTAATAAGTTCTTCAAAATGCATGTTTGAATATTTAAGATTTGTTATTGACCTGGTCATCCAGGTAACGCATACTTTGCTTTGACTTGCTACTGTGTATGATAAAAGAGGATCTTAAATATGCCAGAATATTAGCATTCAAGAGAACCCTATACATAGTAGATAATCTGTAAGCATGCCACATGAGAGTCATATGATGACTACTTTATTCATCATGTCCTTATACCCTGCTTTCCATATTGAGGAACATATTTGCATTATAAATTGGAGAAACACTTTGACAACAAAGCGAAAATTGTTTTTTATTCAAGAGCCAAAAAGAATACATTTGAGGGTAAAACGCTTTCAAATTCGAAAACTTGTCGAAAACCCCAAACTCGAGACATCCTAATACGCAGAAGTTGAGGAGAGGGTTAGTGTAGACATTTCTTACAAATTTGCTATATAATTTAGTACAATTTCTAAATCATGAAATTACCTGCAATCTACTTCATATCTGTAATGCTTAATAAATAATAACATTAATGTTTAGTTTTTTCAAAGACTATTATGAATAAGCTGGGAGACTGCACTAGGATTGTGGACAAACTTGACAACTTGTTAAATAGTCATTTATTGCAACTCAGAAAAATATATCTAGAGCTAAAATGAAACCAATTTCAATCTAAGTGTTATTGGAGAATTTTACACACTAGGAGAAAATTACACACTCATACATTAACATCTCTTAATCGAAATATTTGTAATAGAGCATTTCAATTGATTAAAAAAAATATAATTTGAAAGTAAATCAATACATTTAAAATACTTATTCAATTCCATTTATTTGAAAGCACAGAACTAATTTCAAGTTAAATTAGTTTAATAACCATAGTTTTAACTTGATGGTGAAATGATCCAAATAGACAACACATGATGTGCATGTCTTAGAGAGATTCCCCTCACTGGCGCAATTAGAACAACTCGAAAAAGAGAAGACAGTACCGTTCGGTGATATTTTGCTTTAGTTTAATGTAAGACAACATTTCTTCTTTAATTTATCCATATTGGATTATATTCTATTAAAAAAACTTAACCACCCCCTTTAAATTTTCCTAAAACCTTTTAATAGTGAATAAATGTAAGGATTCCATCCCAAAGTTAGTACTTGATATTGAAACTATGAATTTTAAAAGTATATTATTTTACAAAATCATTCTAATTTAGAAAATAAATAATGTCAAATGTATTACATATGTAAACAATTCAAATTTCTCCCATTGCAAGTTGAATGGGGTCAGTGTGGATGCTTCCAAACGAGCCCCAACCAACGTTTTCCTATACTAGCTCCACGATGACATTTGTTTGTTTCTGCCTAATTCTGATTAATTGAAAGTATACAGAAGAAAAGTTACTATCAAAATAGGCAATATACCGTATAATTAAAGATTCATTTTAACTTTTTATGAATTTCTGAAAATAAAATGAGTTAATAAAGGAGTTAAAGTTACTTTTTTACCTTAATACCTTCCCTTACAAATTTCTACTCAAGTATGCACTGTCTGATTATGCAACTGAACATGAAGGAGTAAATCAATGTTGCCTACCTACGATAAATCACATAGGAAATTTGACACACGAAAAATATTCAATAGGTCCACTCTAGACCTATGTTCAAACTTGCCCAATCTCCTCTACTTATTTTAAACTTTTTTTAATGAGATTGGGATGGATTTTCGATTCAAAAACTAATGAATAAACAACTGGACACTACACGGCTATAAAATGTAAGATTTGTATATTACCTATAATTTTCAATCTACTTTGAAGTATTAGAGTCCTCGAACGTCTTAAATCCACACGACACTTGTAGTCTGCTTCATCAGCAGGAACAACCGCTTTCAAGACTAAAACGGGTGGATGAACATCGATGTTAAAATAAACTCGGTCCTTCATCTCTGGGGACGGAAAATGTTGAGCTTTTATCATAGGAACGTTCCTGATATCCAATGTATAAAAGGGATTTGGCTTGCCTAGTCTGTACCATAATATAAGAGATGCTTCGTCATCTTTTAGCGGAGTCGGTACGTTGCATGGTATGACTGCATCTTTACCAGCTAGTGCAAGAACGATTGGATTATCTGTGAAATAACACAAAAAATAAATCAACAAATAGCTTTTTTAAATTAGAATATATATTAAAAATAAGTATATATATATATATATATATANTAAAAATGTTTAAAAGCTTTATTATATATATATATATATATATATAATACAAATAAGTTAAAAATATAGAGAAAATCTTTTTGTGCTCCCCCGCCCACACACTATTGTATTGATATTCTTTGCTTTGGCTATATTAATACAAAATTAGAAAGGGTAATTTTTTGGATATAATAATGGGATATAATCGTGCGAGCTGATGACGAGATTATACCCTGTTCTTATTTCATTTTATTTTCCTTTTTTTTAAATTTAATTTTTTTTTAACTTTTTGAATATTTTTTAACAAAAACATTATATGTAAACCGAACTATAGTGAAAACTGAATTAAGGAAAGCAAATTAATAACGAGTTGGCAATTATGTAGCTACACAATGATTGCCTTGCAGCAAGGCATAGATTTAACAAGGTTGCAAACATTGCTAGAAAACATTGGCTAGAGCCGTCCGTAATTCAGTAGGTGTTACTGGTTGATGTGTTTTCAAAACATCTAAAAGGTATATCTAAAGGTCAAATTCTCTTCTTGGTTTTTAGGTGGCCAATGCTAGGTGGGCTTCTCGGCTTCTAAGCAGCTGATGACAAACCAAATGAAACCTGTGGAGGGGACAAATTTTCTTGCTTGAATAGTTCATTTTACATGGATGATAGCACATAAAGTAATCGAGGTGATCATTCAGTAACATTACCTACCAAATAGCAAGTTATTATGTATATAACATATCTGAGCCTCCACCCCAATATAATATTATAATTAATCGCTCTATTAGGATATGTTCTGTCGAAGTTTCTATATTTTTTTTTGTAAACATTTAATAATTCATCAAATGAAAATTACATCTTAATGTGTCACAAATCAATCATTAGATCAAACATTATTAAGAAATACATGCAAATAAGTACTACGTTTTTCTTTTTTTTTTTTTTTTTAAACGACTTAAAACTCCTCATGCACCACAAAGTACAGCACGAGGATTACAGTTGTAAGTAGAAAACAAAAAGAAGAAAAATTTACAAATTTACATAAAAAACAATATTCCGCAAGGCCGCAAGACTTTCAATACTTTTGACCAGTTCTGATAAGACAGGTGGCCAACAAATAGAAAGACGTCTCAAATCAGTCTTTAAATTCATTCGGGCACTCGCATACAGACTACAATGAAGAAGAAAATGTTCAGCATCTTCATCAGCATCACCGCAAGCACAAATTCCACTGGTCTGCAGATGGAAATGAAATAAATATCTCTAAAAATTTCCAAGTACTACTTTTGTCTATAGAAATTTTAACAACTCATAATAACTAAAAATCTATTTTTTTATAAATATTTCTCTGAAATTAGATCACGTTTACAATGCAATTATTAGATTTAATACCACAAAAAACCAAGATATTTCTGAGCAAATGAAAAACCAAGATTGTTTTTAAACAGCTATTTCCAACTGATGTCAAAAGTTTTTAAGCTGCTACGTGATTCCAATAGATAAGTGAGTTTATTTGTTTTGATCCATAGGAAAAAAAGAACGAAAAAAGAAAAAAAAGAGAAAGGAAACATCAGCGAAGCATCATAAAATCAGCATCCAGTAGCTTTAATAGCAACATGGTCAGTGGTAAAACCTACGGATTTATTTTATAAAACTATGTAGTGCCCATTTACGGTTTAGAAGAACTGAATTTATTAGAGGTATGTTATATACAGTATTAACTTCATAACGCTTTGGGTAAACAGGGTAAAAAATACATAATAAATTCCTTTACTTTAATATCCAAAAATATATTTTTGGAAGAAATTTATTCAGGTTTTATCGACTCTATATTATGTTTTTACTGTGGAAAGCTTAGCGTATCTTAGCACCAAAAATGATGGCAAATGCTTTACACCAAAGTTGTGTTTCACTAATTTATTTCACTAAACCTAAACCAGGGATAGTTCGTGATGTAGTATTTACTTAGTATTTTTTTATACTACATGGTTCAAGGTTACTGCATAACATGCTTGTTATGCAGTGTCATTGAATTTTAAGAATTTTCTTGCCATGCGATATTATTAGAAGCTTAATTTTAAACTTTATGAAATGTTTGATCGAAATTAGAAAAAAAAATTATTATTAGAGTATTATGAGCAAAATACAATCTCTTATGCTCTTATGAAAAGTGTATTTTGATTAAAATTCCTTGTTAATAAAATAACTGAATGAAATATTAGTTAACTCGATACATATCATTAATTATTTAAACAGATTATTCCAAATTTACTTGACAATCTAAAAGATTAATCACTTTCTCTCGTACAGGTAATCAAATATATAAATTGTGTGAGATTTAGAATTTGACAACAAAATGAGATTAAATTTGAATTAATAATACGATTAATAATAAGATTCATAGAAATAATTAATATTTTCAGAAAACAAATTTTTCAGTTCTATCAAAACTTATTTACAATGCATGTTAATCTACAACTTCCCAGCAAAAACATAAGTTCTGGCCATCTTCGAAATTACTGACGGTACTGATTGAAAAGTGAAGGTGCAAATTACTGTCAGCTGGGTTGATTGCTGGGCCACCCTATGAACTTTTGCCAACATTGTAGGAAGTGTTGGGCCTGTACATTACAAACAGCCGCATCCCGTCAGTCTGAATCTACCCAATGGGCCACCAAGTTAAAGTTGTCTGCTGCCGCCAGTGAAGCGGTCGAGCGAGTAACGACTGTAACTGTGAATTTATTGTTTAGAAAAAGAAGCACGTTGGATTCTTATAATTTTCAAAAAAGGTAAGGTTTTATTTTTTTCTATTACATTGAAGTTATTATTTTAATCATTTTTGATTTACTATTGTTCAAATATGTTTACGACGTGCAGATTTCGGTTTACAAAGAACCGCGTTTGAAGTGCTGTTTTGGCGCTATGTTTTAGATTGGCAATCATCTTTATTCAATTAATACATCATAATTAACACCTTTCTAAGATAGAATAATAAAAAATATTAAATTTAATTCAATGAAAATGTACAGACAAATGTTTTATCAACACCAAGATCGCCGCCAAATTTTTAGCGACAATCGAGCAGTAGCACGCCAAAAACAAATATAAATTCTGTTGTATGATGACTCTTTAAGTGCAATTCATAATATGTTGTAGCATATGATATAAATCAGGTTTATCTAAGTATATTATGAAAATAGGTTTGTATAATAATCAAGAATTTTCATTAAAACTTATTTCTTTATGTTAAATAATATTTAGATTTTAGTTAACTAATTGCTGTTAGTAATATTAAAAATTGTTTCTGTTATATGTATTTCATTTTAATGAAATTTTTGAGCTAAATTCAAGTGTAAAAATAGGTAAAGGTTTAATAATTTATACTAAATAGTTTAAATTAAGATGAAAAATTTATTTGTACATGTTAATATAAATAATTGCGAAGAATCGTGCTGTGAATTCTTAAACAACCTAAAAAAAATATAGATTATGGAAAGTTTTTTAGCACGCAGTTGCTCATACTTAATTGTATATTGGCTAACCCCACTTATACAAAAAAAAAATATTACAAAATTCTTTTATATTTTGAAATCAATGTTAAGTTACTTCATAATTTTTGTTAAGAGTTAAGTGAATAATGTTTTTATTGTGAATTTCAAGTTAATATTCATATAAAATAATGCCCGATTTTTATAGGGATTACAAAAATATATAAAAGTTCAATACAATATGAAAACAAAATTCATACTCAATAAAAATAACAAACAACTCTTTTTCTATTAGTTTTAAAAATGTTAGAAAACCTGTTAGCGCTCTCCATGAATTTCTATAGGTTTTCTTATTTCTTGCTGTGTTTATTATTAATTTAA